CTAGGAGAATGCCCAGCTTCTGCTGATAAACTTTGGATGAAAGTTGGATTTCACATCAGCTTCTCATCAACCTTCATACTGATGGTTGCATGGCTTGGGGTCAGATGAGCAGCTTCTACAGAGCTGGGTACTTGCTTGCTCCTGCCAAAATGTACCACTTTGTGTTTTTCCCTACTGAACTGCACCTCCTCTTTCCTCAGATCACCTTTCAGTGATAATTATGGCTTAGCTGATAGTCCCTTAAGAGGTGAAGTTGAAGGGAATGCAAATAATTAAGCAATAAAAACCCCCATTTTCTTCCAAGTCTTCCTCACCCATTTTTAAATTTTGTTTTGGGGACTCTTTCTATATTTATTCTGGCAAATTTCCTGCTCCTTCATAAGGCTCTTGTACACTTTATCTCCACCCAAGCTGACAGAAATTAGTGGAAAAAAAGAGCAGCCCTTTTAAAGTTCTTCCAGCCTCCATTGCCACGTGAACCCAGATCTGTCTCAACAAACTTCAGTATCCACTGACCTTGTTGACAGGCAAGAGATAAACAAAATTTCCCATGTGAGCCAGCTTATTGCTGAAATCCATTTTCAATACTTTTTGTCGCAACTGTTTTTTCAGAACAAGTAAATTAAGATTCCTTATCACTTGCCTCGAGCCCATACCAGTCCATCATGAAGACTAAAAGAAAAGAAATATGCAAACCCCCTTACATGTGAAACACAGTTTAGACTCTCATGAAGATCAAAAGCCCTTAAATCCATCAACATTTGTCAGACATGGTTATGATCTCCACCTCATCCTAAGTCCTAAACAACTTAGGCATGTCTGGAAAACCCACCCAGGCTTTCAGCAGTAGTTCAGCATTCTCCATTGGCAGGCAACAAAAAATAAGTCAGAAAGGATCCCTGCCTTGGGTAATGAGATTTATCTCACAGAAGATATGTTTGGCTCCCTCATAAACTTTATTTACGAAAGGCTTTTCCAGGTGCAGGTTCCTCCCACAAACCAAACACTTATCCACGGGTTCACTACATCAGCACAAAAACACAGCTACATGGCACAGCAGGTGTAGGACAGTAATAAACTCTAGCTGACCACAGTTGCTACAGTATTTAACCATGTCAAGTGCAAATCTCCCAAACGCACTTGGAGCTGATCATGCCAGTAGCTAGTTACAAACTTTAAAAGCCAGCCTCTGGATGGTAATAATGCAATTACCAATGATGACTTCTGTTCTCAAAAAATGCAGCCTTGGAAATACTTGTACAGGAAAAAGTGCTCTGTGCTCCATCAGAGGCGGACACAGAGTAAAGAATCCAACTTAGCTGTGATTTTTTTATGAACCCTGAGTACAGGAGGTAATAGACTATGAAATTGCCTTTTTTTTTTTTTTTTTTTTAGTTGTTTGTCAAAACAGAAAAGGCCCACTGGGGAAGTGATCTGAGTTAGAGAAACAGAATTAAGAATAATTTATCGCAAGTGGAGTAAACAGTTTATAATGATTCACTGTTCCACCTCAGTGTGCACTTAATATTATCAGACAGTTTATTATGGGTTAGTTGTGACTCAAGTGAGCAGAGACACATTTTAATTGAGACAAATGGGAAAACAGTTTGGACAAGGATACTGTTGGCTAAGTGTACATAGACCAGGTGGTGTCAACATGCCTTCCCCTCTCCCTCCTGCCCCAAGAGTTGCACTGAAAGAGATGCACTGGCAAAAGTGAGCACATTTCCAGGGCTTGTTTTTCTGCTTCTTGTTTTTGACTTGAAAACTGTGTCTGTCTTCTTTTCTACATGCAATGTCAGATGATGCTGGACCAACAGGTACAGGCATAAAATGGAGTAACAAATATGCAGTAAAAGTTTCCCAGCGGTCTCTGGGCCGCCTTCTGTCAAAATTTCCCTGGCACAGCTGCTAGGCCTGCAAGTATTTGTGCTGAGCTGCTTTTGAAACTAGCCATCATATTTTGAGAATTGCATTAACATAACATCAGCTGAGAGAAAAGATTGGTCTTTTACTGATTCCCAAATTCAGTATCTGATCTCTGACTGATAATCATGTTGAAAGGATAATTTGAATGTATCAGGCAAAGTGCATCATATGATGTTTCAGTGAAATCCACAGCACCAGATGCTCTAATTACACAGAACATATACTTCCAATCTTGAAAATCCTACTGCAATTACTGCAGGTTTTATATCAACGTTGTAGGTCGTGGAAGTATTTTATGAAAAAAAAAGGGAAATGTTATGTTAATAATTTATGTTTATGTTAATGTTTCAGTATGCTAATACTGATAGTATTTTCATAAAATACTTGGATAAAATACTTACTTTTTGATAAAATACTTAAAATTTTGCTTTTGATAAAATCCTCTGAATGCCTACTGTAGATTTACTTCCTTATAGCCATACAGCGACAACTCTATACCCTTTTCACTACCAGAATGCAACACTTGATAAAAAGTCATAAAAAGTGACTGAAACAAGACAGTCTATCCTCTCTCTGACACAGACCAGTAGCAGATGCAGAAGACTGAGGCAAGCATCAGATAGTACATGTCTTGCACATCTTCCAGAGCTCCAATATTTGCTTCAAAATCCTGGCCTTTTAAATATTCCACCGTTTCTCTGTATGCCATGTCCTCAGCCATTAGTTCCTACACTGCAAACACTTACATGCTCTCAGATGTGCTGATTCTCAGGCCAAACCAGAACATGCATACATAAGCTAGCAGGATACACAGAAACAGGAGCAGCAAACTTCACTGTGTGACAATGTGGCAGAAAGGCATCAGTCACCCCTTAAAGAGAAATCACTCTATGGAGGTGCCAAAAACTTTTAATTCAGCTGCGGACTGAGGAGTTTATGCACAGAGCCATCTCACTCCATTTCCTGGTTTGAATCTTTGATTCAGTGCCCTGCTGGGTCCCTGAGTGCTGACACTGAGTCTGTGATCTCTCAGTCCTGGGCTCCCTCAAGGTGCATTTTATGCTGTGGGCTTGAACATCAGGGGCTGCCCCCACTATGGTCACACAGCTTTAAAAGCACAGAGTCCTAAGGGGAAATCTGTCAATTTTGAAGGACAAAATGTTGTCGAGTGTTGAAGGGCTAGATGGAATACTTTTTATGACACCCAGGCATTACAGTAGCACTGATCTTCTTCCTCTTTCAGCTGTGTCCCAAATTACAGGATGTGCAGATGGTATGAAGGACAATCAAGATTATATGTTTCTGCTGATATACTGTTGGTCAAGTAATCAGCAACCTGCATTTTCCCCCAGGCCACTGCAAGACCACTGGCAAAACAATCTAATTCTTTTCACCCCTGTTTCTTAATCTATTAAAGAGGAAAAAATATATTTGCTTTACTTCATTAAGTATTTTTGGATCTACAGATAAAAGTATGTGATCACAACAGGAATGTGAAAAGGCAAGTGGAAAAAATTACTGGAAAACTTAACTGAGTGGCTTCAAACCTCTGGAATTGTTTGAGTCTGATTTTCGGCTCTGATTCAGGTGATACTCTCTTTTTGTCACCACCTGTTGTTTAAGTCTGCTTAAAATCCTAGTTTCACAAACATATGCCACTGCTAAACACTACAGTCTGTTTCAAAATCCAAGACGCCTTTCCTCAGTTGTGCAACATTTTATTTTGTTAAACCTTTCCTGAGCAAATAGGAAAAACAATTCCCTTAAGTGCAGAAAAAGAAGGGATTTTAATACAAATTTGCTCTTAACATTTTTAACACAATAGTATAAGGAGAAATGGTGGACTGAGGGACTGTGATTGGGAGTTGACAAGGGCACTTTCACAGAGCCTTACAGAAGGGTTTGCTATTGTTTCTCTCACTAAGGCATTTAGACAGCAAGTGAGACAGGGAAGTGCAGTCTCCAGTGCAGCTGGGCTACTGAATTGGTAGGGCTTATCTGCACTGCTTAAAACAGTTATTTCCGCCAGTCTTTGATTTGTCTGTGGTTTGACACAACCTGACTGACTGTGGAAGAGTTTATTCAACCAGAGGAGAATCTACAGTGAGGAAAGAGTGGTAGATTAGTGACACTGTGTGTATTGTGTGCATGCACATGTGTGCATGTGTGACTGATCTCCTTTAGAAGTAATTTGTGTTGCGATCATTTCAATGTTGCTCTGCTGCAATTCAAAAGAGTTGAAAGGACTCAGGAGTGATGACAGCTGTAGTGATAGAGGTTTTGAACAGAATTTTCTATTAAGTAAAAAGGACTCCTACATTTTTTTCCTTCTATTTTCAAAAGCTGGGATGCATTTGTTTCTGTAAAGCCCTGAAGGGCTTATTACAGCACCTTGCAAAGCAGGAGGCAAATGTAAATCGCCGTTACTTTCACAATGGCATGGTGGCAGTCAGAATTTCAAAAATCAGTGCAATTGTGTTGCCAGTCAGCTCTCCTTTGTTTGCCAATGTGGATCAATATGATCGATGCTGTCATGATAGCTTTCTGAGAGCAGAGAGGGAGAGCGGCGTGAAGCAGAAAGACTTCACGATCCCGTCTCGTTTCACCTCCCGCTGCTGTCTCCACCCTCGCAGCGCCGTGGCTCCTCCTGGCAAGCGGCGCTGGGGAGCCTGGCTCGGCTCGGCTCGGCTCAGCCCGGGCGGCGCGCAGCAGCTGGCAGAGCCGGGGCTGCGCCGCCCCTGCCGCTGCAGGCAGCAATCTCCCACCTCCACGGGCTGGGTTTCCGTGAATGCCTCAAACCAGCTGTGAGAAAACAGCCTTTTAGCCTGTGCAAGTGAGCTGGGGCCTTAAGAGGGATTAACCCATCTCATAGCTGGCTTTACAAAGAATGAAAGTCCAGGTGCTTTAGGGGGAGTGGAGGACGGTACAGGAATGGGACTGTGACTACATGGAGAACGTGTTCTGGGGCTGCAGCTCACCCACGCTCTGCTCCAGCGACCCTTTTGCAGGGGACCATGGAGAGCAGGTGCTGAGATCCAGTGCTTGGCAGAAGCAGCAGCGGGCTGGTGAAGATGGAGAATGGCACAGGAGACGAGCAGAACCAGACGGGGCTGCCACTGTCAAGTCAGGAGATCATTACAGCTGAATACCAAGTGGTGACCATCCTCTTGGTCCTCCTCATCTGCGGGCTGGGCATCGTGGGCAATGTCATGGTGGTTTTGGTGGTCCTCAGAACCAAGCACATGAGAACCCCCACTAACTGCTATCTGGTGAGTCTGGCCGTGGCAGATCTCATGGTGCTTGTGGCTGCAGGACTACCCAATATCACAGAGAGCCTGTACAGGTCCTGGGTGTACGGCTACGTCGGGTGTCTCTGCATCACTTATCTCCAGTACCTGGGAATCAACGCTTCTTCTTTTTCCATCGCTGCCTTCACCATTGAGAGGTACATAGCCATCTGCCACCCAATCAAAGCTCAATTCCTATGCACTTTTTCAAGAGCCAAAAAGATCATTATTTTTGTTTGGGCTTTCACCTCCATATACTGTATGCTCTGGTTTTTCTTGCTAGACCTGAATACAGTAGCCTACAAAGAGACTACTGTTGTGTCCTGTGGCTACAAGGTCTCCAGGAGCTATTACTCTCCTATCTACATGATGGACTTTGGTATATTTTATGTTGTGCCAATGGTATTGGCGACTGTCCTCTATGGCCTGATTGCTAGAATACTGTTCCTGAACCCCATCCCTTCAGATCCAAAAGAAAACTCTAAGACCTGGAGGAATGATGTGGCTCACCAAAGCAAGCCTGTGAATTCCAAGATGACTAACAGGAGTTTCAATAGCACTATTGCTTCTCGAAGGCAGGTAGGAACAGCTGTTTGAAATGGCTTTCTGAAACCTAAAAACAACTTGTTTTAAAGCTCACTTGTGGGAAGCTGTGGAAAGAGGTAAAATATATTCATCCTTTTTTCTAAGTAGTCAAGTTTAAAATCAGTGATACACATATACCTAAAAATGCATCTTTTTTCTTGCCTGTACATTATTACCTACTGCAAGAACCAAAGAGAAAGAAACAATATTTTTTCCTATATCAGAAAGCAATTAGGAAGTGTCAGATATGATGGAAATATTTTTAACTATAATTTCTTTACATTACAGCTTTTTAGTAATCTTGCCAAATACACAAAGTGACTCGACTTATTTTTGAGATTTGAAGGAAGGAACTATCCTGAGAGTTTGGGACACTCGAGACGGAGTCCCAGCTAAGGCACTATGTCACTCAGCAAATGCAGTCAAGATGTAAATTTTCCTGTCTCTAACTCTCCTGTGAAAACTCTGTTTAAGGAAGTCTGTATATAAATTGCTTTGTAAATGCTAAATATCTTTGTTTCTCTGTCTCTCAGAAAATATTTTTTTGTACTCATGGCTCAAAACTGAGGCATAGGTTTGACTAGCTTCCTTTTATATTATTGAATATGTATGCTGATGTGTGTAATAATACCAGTGGAATATAGTTAGCAGATTAATTGCTGGCTGTTTGCAGTAAACCACATGGTGTGCAGCAGGTAGCACAGCTGGTGCAGTGGTGGGAAACACAGGATGCACCTTTTGCAGATGGCTCTGGGGATATTCTTCTCATTCTTTATATTCTTCTTATTTTGCTTCAGTGGCTAAGGTTTGTGAGAAGGGACCATGTTCTCTTATCACAGAGATGGCAAAAACCTCAGAAGTTAACTGAGGTGCCTTCTAGAGCACTGAGCCCTCAGAGAGCACTAGAGCTGTGCTTGGAAACACACAACAGAAACACGTGGGCTAGGTTAAATTTAACTGTGTTGCCAATTATAGTTAATAGTCAGGAAGTGTTTAATGTTGTTTTTCTTTGTCCATTAATTAATAGAAGAAGATAACCTTCTCTTCAAGTTAATGTCACTTTATACTTGATTACATGTGCTTAGTATCACTTGAAAAACAGACAAATATTTTACATTGAACACTGATTAATATGGACACTGTTATATCATGAAAAAATAACCAAAAAGTGAAGATTATAATGTGATTTCTTTTATGTCTTGTAAAGACAGCAAGACTTTCTCTAAAAGCCTAAGCAACCTGATTGCTTAAAGCAACTTCATTGTAAGTAAAGCTAGAATTTGCATATAGTATAACATAGCAAGCAAAGCAAGGATAGCGTGGCATAATTAGTAATGGTTTTTTGTATAATAGCAACATGCAAAAGATAGGCAGTGGTGTAAAAAAAACAAGAAAAACAAGAGAAAAAAACACATATAGTATAACACAGGAAGCAAAGCAAGGATAGCGTGGCATAATTAGTAATGTTTTTTGTATAATAGCAACATGCAAAAGATAGGCAGTGGTGTAAAAAACAAGAAAAACAAGAGAAAAAACCAAAAAAATCTAGTACATATTTTAAAAAAATCTAGAATTTTAACAGTTAGTAAGACACAAAAGGGAAAATTTCCTGCCACACTGACAAGGACACCTATAGCTGACAATACAGTCTGGCCTGACAGTGAGTCCTGCTGAAATGTGAAACTCTGCGTCTTCCTGGACCTGTGTTTGCACTACAGGGATTGAGGAGTGTACAATATCCTGCATGTGATCTGTAGAAAAGGTGTCTGAAAATGTGGTGTGAACTTCCTACTTCTGTAGCAGTTCTTGTATTTATCCAGGAACATTTCTATGAAATTAAATGTATACATGTTTTTGTAGGGGGGTTGGCTCCAAATGAGAATGGGACAGAAATGGGAAGTGGTCGTATTCTTCATGATCCAAGACAAGGACAGGCAGACAATCTATCAGTTATTGTCATGGGCAGTGCAGACTCAGCTTGGGGAAAATTAAAATTGCCAATTCATTGCCCGTTGTTGTAGCCACAAGTTACACTCAGTCCCTTCCCTGCCCTGCAGCAACCAGAGAGTGCTGCAGTCAGGTTGCAGAGGTTGGTCCCTTGTCACTCCTTCCTTCTCACCCTTTTCCTCTGTTTCATTGTGGGTCCTGCAGCCCACAGATCACGGATATTTTTCCTTTTCCATTCATAGTACTGAATTGCATGTTTCCATGTAGGTTTCATACTTTCCCCAAAGGAATTCCTACTTTCCTCAGATATCAAGGTGACTGAGAAAAATAAATGCAGCCTTACATAGCAAACAAGTTGGTTTATACTTGAGATGGAATCCAGCTCACTTAACAGTATGTGTATCTCACAAAGTTAGTTGATTAGTCCAGTCAAATCATCTAAGGTCATTATGGCTGTCATGGTCAGGAATAACAGATTGCCCTCTAGAGAAAGTCCTCTCTTGTACAGTGTGCAGTCATGACCTGCTCAGCAGAGAAATCCCTCTGTTCTCTCACAGCACAGCAAGCACAGATTCCAGCTTGCAGTGCAAGATAAGTTTTGCACGGTTTATGTTAAATCCTCAATCTTATCAGTTGGTTTCACTTGTGGTGTTAGTATATCAAGACCTTAATCCTTCTATTTATTTAATTCTCCTTCTCATTGCACAACTTCTTTTTGATTAGGAAATCATGGGCTGGGATATACAATCTCTGTGTGTTGCAATGAACACGACCAGGCACAAGAAGAAAGATGTTATTACATGGCTTTAAAACACCAGAGTGACTATTGCTTTTACCTATCAGTGTAAGAAAGATTAGTACTCAAAGGAGAAGGAAGCAATACTGAACTGTACCAGGATAGTGAAAATGTTTAATAAAAACCCTTCCTTAGAATAAGAAGCTTTTGGAGCAGGAAAGAAAAAGAGGATGCTAGTTCAGAATTAAAATATTGGGACTCTGTTTAGTAAAATATATTTTAAATATTCTTTAGAACATGCTCAGAAATAAAGAGATAGATCTTGAAGAATGTTTATATGCAGGCAAGACCATATTCAATCTCAAGCTCTTTGTTATCATTCAAACTATGCTTGAAATTTGGACTAAGCTGAAATTGCTCAAAGTCTTTTTACAATGTTTTCAATTTCCCTAACTAAGAATAATTTGTACCCTGAGCATAGGACATACAGTGCACATCCACAAGAAAAGAGCAATCAGTGTATGCTCACCTTCATCCGAGCAGTGAATTGAGGATGTAGTGTTGCTGCTTTTAGGGAGCTTTGGTGTGTGCTTTTATTTGGTAATAAAAACATGTTCTTTTAAAATTTGTCCTCTTAACACTCCACTGATGCCAAATAATTAGCCTCCTTTCAATATATGTTTAGTTCTGTTTCATATGAAGTCATTTGAAAAAGGATATGGCATTTTGCTTAAACAAAGAGGACCAAACTTTCCTCTAAAGAATTCATGTTCAGCAATAAAGACTTTTATTGTGGATAAGAATGAAGCTTTGGCCTCAGTCATGTATTTAGATAATGGGTTCACCTATGAAGCAAATTGAGGTGAATTTGTGTCAGATGCCCTGAGTAGGGCCTCACCCTGCAGTGGGGTGACAACCCCCATGCTGGGACTAAGTAAGCCTTGCCAGAGCACCTCCTCAGAACTGCTTCCTTCTGCACACAGGTCATTGTCTGAGGTAGCTGAGCGTGAAGAACCACTCCAGAACCAGTCTAAGGAGCATTTACCAAAGAACAAATTACCTGAACTCAGGTAATTTGTGTGTCTCAGAGACAGCCACAGCTGGTCAGATGGATCGGGAAACTGAATTTCTGACAGGCAATAGAGATCTTGTGAGAGGTTTGTTATTTTTGGCAGCTTTGGAAGGATATGTACTGCAGACAGTTTAAAATTATAGTGAATTCTCCTCATTGTCCTGCATGGACTGAACCACCAAGAGATGCCACCAAGAGAAGCCACCCATGGGTTCTGCCTCTTCTCTTGCACTGCATGTAGACTCTGTGAAGATATATGAGTACATGAGTTGGTTCATTGACCTGAGCAAAATAAAAACCAGCTCTACAGAGTGCTTTGTTTCTAGCAGCAGAAGCTTGTGGTGTTAGAAAGAAAATGTGCATCCAAATGCCAATATACACAAATTCAGCTAATCATTTGCACACTACATACATACATACATATAAACACGCATATATAATATACATATATATATATTTGCAATGTATGGGATACAATCACTTGAGCAGTAACAGTCTTCTTTCACTGCTGTACAGTGACTCTAAATTACCCCTCTTTGACTGTAAGAATAATTTACTTCTAGTCCGGATTCAAGCTGATAGCTGCAACACTGCAAAGGATCCTCTGAGCAATTTTTCCTGAAGGAAATGTAAATTGCCAATGACTGGTAGGTACCATAATGGAGTGCCCTGCTGAGCTTCTGGTACTCTGATGCCTGTGTAGGCTGTTATGCCCTGAATGCCTGAGCTGATGGAATACACCTGTTGGTTTGGCTCGGTCCCATTGTTCACCCAGGCTCCACAAATGGTGGCTTTCTTCCTTTAAATGTGGATTATTTTCTACAGTGAAATGATTGTTCTCCACTGAATGGATTTGCTCAGTTTGGAGGCACAGGCTGGAGCTGAACTAGAGGGATGAGAGCCAGAATGGGTCAGTACTGGGTCAACTCTCTCTTTGCCACCATGTCCACAGGAATGGCCCTTTCAGAAGTGGAGACAAGGAGAGATCATCCTTTGAGTTACCTGGAACATTCATGTTACTATTTTGCTCAAATTCAATGACTGTGCACAGAAAATTAGAAAATAAACAATGTAGAAGTCAATGAAATGTATCAGTCAAGTGACAAAAAAGGAGATAGCATTTCTTAGTCTTATTTTTTATGTCCACTGAACACAGCTTTAGAGAAAACAAAAGTAAGGGTGAGGGAAGAACTATAACATAAATTTGCAGCCTTTGAATATGCACATTTAAAGACCAATAAATAGATAAAGATACATCAATTTGTAGAGTAACGTTGATTTTCATCACATTCTTTATTGTAATACCTATAACAAACTAAATAAACTGGCTGAAAAGTGTGTCTTTCTAGAAAATAGGAGAAAATACATTCATTAGGCAAAGTGATGGCAGGTTTCTATATAATGAGCTTATCTGGTCAGAACACAATAGAATTATATATTCACAACTTCAAACTAAAGCCCACTTCTAAAACCAGCATGTGTGAATGATCTTAGTGGAGTTATCTCCCATTGAAACTCTTATAAATCTGCAATTAGAAGAAACAGTTGTAACTCATCAAAATGTGTGTCAAAATTTTCTATTTCACACAGTTAAAACCAAGTCATCTCCTGACTTCCATGAGGGTGTGCCAACGTATCGTCCCATGTCACATTTCTGTGTGCTTTCTACTTTCTTTATTAATATCTTTCAAACTTTCTTTAACATACAGACTGTTGAATACTGTCTACACCAGAATTAAATTATTTGCAAAAGAAAGACTAATTTTAAAGTGGGTTTAATTTTTTTTTTATTATTTCTTGTTCATTTCAGCTATCCTGGGTATTCCCAAAAGTTGTTCTTTTATTTTTTCTAAAGAAAATTATATAATGGAATAAAGTTCTTATAACAATCAACTTTGATTGATAATCCTTTTTTCCAGGCTCTGTAAACTTTGACTTTTCAGAGCAAACATCAAATAATTAAGATCTAATTAAATATTCAGGACTTGAGGAAAATAAATTAATTTAATTGTTCTCTTTTTTTTTCCTTATTTTTAGCTTTGGAAAATTTTTTTAGGCTGACTGTTAAACCAGATAACCTTAAAAGGCTTCATGTTCAATTACTCTACAGGCTATACTAGTCTAAAGGTAGAGATCTAATGTGTTTGGGAAAAAAAATACTCTTTGTCCTTTTTTCCCCATTTGAATCAACATCCCCTTCCAGCATAAGAAGTGGAAATGTCTAAGGTCTACAACAGTTAGCTTATGGGGATATCATCTGGAAAGAGTAATTTAACAAAAACTAGGAAAAAATTGAAGCCAAGGTTTTTGTACTTCCTACTGTAGAAAAACTTTCTGAATCAACTATTCATCAGAAATTCCTACTGAAGGATCTGTCCAGAGGTTTGGTTTGGCCCAAGAAAGGCATAAGAATGCACATGTTCATTCCAAGGGTGTACTGATCTTCTGCCCCTCTTCTGTCTCTCTCTCTGTGTTCCCTCAGGTTACCAAGATGCTGGCCGTGGTTGTGATCCTGTTTGCATTCCTATGGATGCCCTACCGCACTCTGGTTGTTGTAAATTCCTTTCTTTCCAGACCCTTCCAAGAAAACTGGTTCCTGCTATTTTGCAGAATCTGTATTTATTTAAATAGTGCCATCAATCCTGTAATTTACAATCTCATGTCCCAGAAATTCAGAGCAGCCTTCAGGAAACTGTGCAACTACCAGCAGAAACAGGAGAAGAAACCTGCTAATTACAGCATGGCCCTAAATTACAATGTCATCAAGGATTCTGATCATTTCAGCACTGAGCTAGAAGATATTACCAATACCTACCTGTCCTCTGCAAAACTGTCCATTGGTGATACGTGTTTGTCATCCAAGGTAATAGTTAATACATTTCAGTGTCTGCTGTGGGTCCTCCAGAACCAGAGCACCTTGCTGGTGTGGGGCTGTGCTGGGGTAGCTTTCAGCCAGGGCAGCATTGCAGAGGGCTGGGAGAGGCTGGCAGGGACAGGCCTTGCCCCAAACAGGGCATGGCAGGGAGGGACAACTGCCCAGCTCTGGGAAGCTGTGTTTTCAAAGTGCCTTGTGCCAAGCATGGAGGGACTTGGAGGATCTGAAGCATGCGGAAGGATGGGGAGAAACAATCAGGTTAAGGCTTCTTTTCTGAGGAACAGTGGGCTCTAGTGCAGCATCAGAGAGTGGTTCTCAGGTGTGGTGCCTCAGGTACACGTCTGGCAGGAGGGTGATGGTGTCTGAGCTCAGTGATTCCTCTGGGCATGCTCTGGCTGGCTGCAGGGAGGGCAATGGGGCATTTTCTTGTGCCTTCCCCCTTGACTCCAGCTGGGGGTTAATCACACAGCTGGTGCTGAGGAGAGGCTCTCCCACACACTTTCATTCTGTCGTGTGTAGCACATCTCTTTAACTCACTTCTCTAATTATACACATTACTGTTTTCATGATTTCTTTTTACAAAATACTACCTAAATGCTGTTTGTGATCCCATACATTTAGATCTTAAAAATATAAATTATCTACAAAGAGGCTTAGTTTTCATTTGTTTTTGCAGATTATATGAGTGTAAAGTATTTTTTTCTCAGTTTGCTTCTTCTCTCCTCATTTTCAGGCCTGAGGCCCACCTTGTTCTGAGTACACAGCCATGTAAGACGTTTGGATGCTCTGTTCCCACCAGCTGTATGAATTGTAAGGACATTTCTGCTCACAGAATTGCTGAAGCTACCATAAATCTTTTCATAGCTGCCTGTGCCCTACAGGAAAATGCAGTGTCTTGGGGAGTGAAAAGAGTATATTATTGAGGCTAACTGAATGAAGTACTTAATACAGCCTAACTTTAGGCAGGTGAGTTGGCTTCAGTAGAATACCAGAATCATTCTTCCCATTACCTGGCTGAAGAATGATCTGTGATCTCAGAATGAGCATGTCTTGCCAGGACATGTCCATGGACACAGAGTGGGGCAGGGGATGATACTCCCTGTGAAGACGAGAGGTGAGGAGAGGATCTGCTCTAATGTGTACCTGTACTGGGCAGTAGCTGGGGGACCTTCCAAGAACAGCCAAAATTGCTGCTAATAGCAGTAATTACCTGCCAGTGACTCCCTCATCCCACATCAGTGCAAATCTCATTGCAGCCATCACAGCACACTTCAGTAAACAGGTATCTGATGGCAAAAAGCACAAAATCTTTCGTTTCTTTGGTTTATTTTTACCTTGAGCAGCATGAAATAGGAAGACTAGTCAATGATTTTGCAGCAGGAAACAAACAAATTAAAAAGCCAGAGGCATTTAAAATATCTTATTTTTTTTCAGCAATCAGGTTTATAGATGTACCATACTTTAAGTGTAAATCTCACCTATTACTAAATCCTGCTGGAAATTAACAGATATTGAAGAGTATGTAACAGGCTTTTAACAGCTCCTTTTATCTTGGTTCAACACCAATTGTGTCTGAGTGCTAGAAGGGGTTTAGAGCTTTAATATGGATAATATATAGGGAAAAGAGGAAAATTCAGGAAAAAAATGACACTTTTAAAGTGTTTAAATGTTTAATGTTTTTCAAGTTCATCTGTTAGGATACTTTAGGATATACAGTGTTGTCAGAGGGAAAGTCATCATGGCTTTTTACTTGCCAGCAGAGCCCCTTTCCTGCTCTTCCCACACGGGCCCATGATAAGCAGGCTGGGGCCATAGTCTCCCTAATGTAGCTGCAGACAAAATATCATGTATTGCTTTGGCTTTGCTCTAGACCAGCTCTTGTTCTTGCTAGAAGTTCATTTTCTCACTTCTGAGCTGCAGAAGCCCAGGAAAGGGCCTGTGTACTCCTGAGTGTCACAAACATTTTGCACAGCTTTTGTACATGACATTCAAAAACCTGTAAAAAACCTGATTCACAGAATCACAGAATAGGCTGATTTGGAAGGGACCCAGAAGGTTCATCGAGTCCAGCTCCCAGTCCTGCACAGCCCCATCCCCAAGAGTCACAAACCTGCCCAGAGCAGGTAAAAGAGGCAGCCTCTACAGCACTGTAAGGCTTTCCTATCCAGTATTCTTTTGCCTACACAGCCACTTCCCTAATTCAAGCCACTTTCACTAATAATCAACTATATTTGCAAACTTAAAGAGAACTAAAGACACCCCAATAGGCTCAGATTAAAGTGTTAAAACGGTGAATCTATGTCAGCTGCATCCAAAGGGCTCTATTGAGCATTCTCTACATGGCAAGGAGGAAGCGAACAGATTTCCCAGGGAGGTTGTGGAGTCTCCCCCACTGGACATATTCAAGAACCATCTGGACTCAGTCCTGTGCCATGTGCCCTGGGATGACCCTGCTTGGGCAAGGAGGTTGGACCAGATGACCAACTGTGGTCCCTTCCAACCTTACTCACTCTGTGATTCTGTGATTTTGCAAACAGTCTGTATCCTGCTCTGTCTGCATCCTTGCTTTAACTCCTGTTTCACCTTTGCAGAGCTCCACAGGCATTTTCCAGCTTGGCAGAGTGATGGCAGGGCATGGAAGGGACCAAGAGCAAGAAGCAAAGTAGGTGTGACGAAATTCCAGAAGCTGACAGAGCTTTGTCTGGAGCAGAGCCAGAAGCAGGACCCATGCAGGCCAAGTTGCAGTCTTTCCCAAATCCTCTGCATTTCCCAGCTCTCCAGGTTGTCTATCTGAGCAGCACAGGCTACCAGGCAGGCACATGCAGTGGGGTCTATTTCTGTGCAGATGTCCGAACCCCCAGAGGACTGGAAGGGCAATGTCCAGACTGCTTTTAAAATAATAAGGAAGAACTAAAATGACAGAGTAAGTCACGTGTCAGGCAAGTAAGCAAAGGTGGCTAGGGCTCAAGAGTCAGAGAGAAGGATACCAGTGTATTCTCAAATCACTACCGAGCAATTAATCTCCTAAATACAATTCTGAAGCTTTGACATACATTTTGGGCAAACCTTTCCTTTGTAGAGCCTGATGTGAAAATACAGAGTTCTATAGCATTTTACTGCTTAGACTTGCTTAAAGCTACAGGTTGCCATAAGGGAAAGCCAAGGAGAGATACCACAACCTGTTTAACATTTCCTCCAAAGCACCTGTCACAGAGAAATTAAATTATCTGTGAGCCTTACACAGGAATTTATGGTTGCTTAGCCAAGAGACATTCAAAGTAAAGGCAAACTCCTGTGTCTGACTTTGCAAACTCTTGTGATGAAGCCAGGACTGCTCACAGCTTCTGGGAGGTGATTCCCAGTCTGAACTGGAGGCAGAGACTGCGGAGGCGGCCACCGGTGGAGCTGGTACCTGGAAATCCCTTTGCCCTTCACATGCTGTTTTCAGCCAGGCATCTATTCAGTGCTTTCAGAGGAGGCCCTACTTTCCAGAATTTCTCAAGAGATGCTAGAACTATTTGCTTTTCTTACTTAAAAAGCAAGATGTGCAGGACTAGCAGCAGGCAAAGAGGGCACTCCCTGGAAACCTGGCTGTCTGGTGAGGAGCACACCTGGCTCACTAAAAACTGAGCTCAGTATTTGTGTAATAACAGTAAAACTTACACTTTTATCTCAATGCTTTCAGAGCACAGACTGAATGACATCTTTTATAGACCAACAGAACCAGAACTGAATTCTTTCCTTTGCTTGCCTTTTTGCTCAAACAGTAACTGTCTGCATTCTCAGCCTCTGCTCCACCAGATGCTCAAGTGAGGTATTTAAGCCCATATTCTTTGTGATGCTTCAGGAAGGGCTAAAATCAATGTAGGTGACTTTGTATGCATCATCACTGGGAATGACAAAAATGAAATTATTTCTTTCTGATATTTATTTGTGCTAACAGTAATTATTATGATTGCAAAATTGTGTGCAAAAACACAGTATTTATAATTGCATATTTAAGCTAAGGTGTGATTTTAACTGATAATGTAATGTGACTGTATAGATGTTAGTCGTGAAATCCATTCTAATTTTATACTGATATACAGCTAACACTACAAAACTTTGTTGATATCATCCTGATGTGACTGTTTGTGTTTTTGTCCTTCTGTTTAGAACAGCAATCAATATTTTTTCTTGTACCCAGATGTTGTAAATTATATATGTGAGAATGTATTTTTTTTAATTATGTGGTTTTAAATTTATTTATAATTATATCAATTTTATTTTTTTTTTGCTAGAAGTGAAAGTGGCTGGTTGTCAACTACTGACTTCAGTAATATAACTATCTTTGTATATTTATTTTGTGGATAGCAAAGTCCTTTGCAATATTTAGTCAGAAAGAATTGTCTGATTGGTAGCAATATTGAAATCCATGCCTATATCCTTATTTAACATCTTTTGTGTAAGGGATTGCATTCTTATTGAACTGTTATTTAGAAGTTTATTCAGAATGTAACAGAAGAGGTGCTGCTTTCACGTCTGGCTAGGGGAGCTATGCTGCTTCCTTTCTGAAATGCTGAGATTTCAGAACCTTCAGTGAAGGTAAATTGTGCAGCTGAGAAAGGTCAGGTGTATTTGTAACACACTTTAGTTCAAATGATCACACGACCTCCCTGAATTCAGAGTAAAGGATACATCAAAGAAGCTCCAGTGTGCTGTAAAAGAGTTTATGATGCTTCTGTGGAAACTGATAGCACAACTCAAATGGTAAAGATCTCACTTGCACCACTTCAGAAAAGTTACCTGGAAAAGTGGACTGAAGGACTGATTCTACTTGAGGAGCTGCTGCAGTACCTCCCCAGCTACACAGTGAAGGCTTGGATCAGTCACTTCAGAAGTTAACAATTTTGTTTGTTTTTAAAAAGTTAGTCTATAAATTAATTAATTAATTAATTAATCACACAGACACTCACACCCCCAGATCTGAGCACTGTCACCATGGGAAAAAAATCATTATTTCAAGAATGTGAGAAGATATTTCAACAGTGAATTCATTTATCTACTATTTGTGTTTCTTTTGTTGCAAAAGTTGTTTATTTTGCTACAAATTGCAGTGAAATTTGAAAATTATCTTTTTATATTTTATATCTTCTTCAGACAGAATTGTTTCTTTGCTCTTTTGTTATTTTCAGTAAGAGCTTATATTCTCATGATTCTTTCATTACTACTGGGATACAGTGATAGAGCTAATGCCAGTGAATTGGCTCAGTCAAAGTGATTTGGACTCCTGAATTCATTAATTTGGGAGCTGAATCTTGGAAATTTGAATTCTAACAAATTATGTAAGAACAACTGGTTTGGAGGGAATTTTTTCTTCATCTACCCAGAGAAATTCTGGTTTCATTCTGTCACTTCAAGTGGTTTATTTATTTGTTTATTATAAATAGTGTGAAATTGTTCAGAGAAATGTACTACTGATAAATGTAGAACAATTTTTGTTAAAAAGAAGCATTTTGTAATTCTTGGATGCATGCTGCTGTGGGGATTAATTTGTAATGGATTTTTGTTGCTACTCTAATAAAATGTTGAGCAAGATAATTATACTGCAATTTAAATTTTTTAACAACTACTTGAATACTACCTTTTGTCTTGCTGTCCTTGGCAATGGACAGACAATGTAACAACATCCTTTTTCATCTGTAGAAGAATGAGACCCTGAAAAATGCAGTCTTTTTTTCCTGAAGGAAGAGAAGTGCG